TAGTCTTGGCATTTTTGACTTTCAAATTATTTTGGGAGACAGGTTGATGTCTTCAAATCAAGCAAAATTAGAAGTTTTATTAAAACGTATTCACACTGAATGAGAAAACTGAATGGCCACAGTTTCTGTCAGAGTTGAGCCTCAGAGCAATAAGAAGTTCCAAATGAGGATTTAAATTAGGGTTTAAAAGGCGTAACCTGAAGTGAGGAGAGCTGGTGATAATGTTAGAGCCCATAAACAGCAAACTCGAAACAAGGGCTAGTTGTGTATAGAATGTGGAATGCTTCTTGTTACTGTGGCAGACTCCATCTTCAAAATATGTTATACTTAGGTGATTTTTATAGATTATATCCACTCTTCAACTGAGAAGAAAACCTTGGGTTTTGAAGTTAAGTAATTTTAAGGACAGGGGTAGGAAGCATACTGTTATTTTTTTTATTGAGGTTTCAGGTGAGTTAATAGATTGTTCCACAGTGAAAAGGCAATAGAGATTTTTTCCGCTAACCAAGACTGATTATCTTTGTTAATTTCTCGTAACAAAAAGAATAGATGGAATAGTAATGTAAAAGCTGTGAAAACAAGTTATTTAGCAAAATTACAATAACAACTTTATTGTACTTTTTCTTTGAGGTTTGTATTTAGTCAGGGTTCTTTGGTTTGCATGTGAAAAATCTAAGTTTGAACTACCTTATGCAGAGAATGGCAGGAACATAGGTGCAGTTGAAATCGGGACCCCAGTCATAGTAGGATTTTTTTCTTTGTAGCTCATACCTGTTTTTCTTAGTCAAGTTTCTTCTTTCAGGTTGGCTCTTTGCCCATTGGCAGAAACTATGGCTGGTGAAGTTCCCACTCCTCATGTCTTGCGTGTGTGTGTGTATTTTTTAAAGATATATTTTATTGATTATGCTGTTACAGTTGTCCTAATTGTTCCCCCCTTTGCCCTCCTCCACCCGGTATAACCCCATTCACTCCAGCAATCCCCCTCCTTAGTTCATGCCCATGGGTCATGTATATAAGTTCTTTGCCTACTCCATTTCCTGTACGGTTCTTCACATCCCCCTGTCTGTTCTGTGCCTACCAATTTGTACTTCTCAATCCCTGCACCTTTTCCTCCAGTCTTCCCCCGCCACCCAGCTGATGACCCTCCCACTGATCTCCATATCCGTTACTCTGTTTCTGTTCTGCTTGTTTGCTTAATTTGTTTTTTAGATTCAGGTGTTGATAGTTGTGAAGTTATTGACATTTTAATGTTCATAGTTTTGATCTTTTTCTTAAAGAAGTTCCTTTAACATTTCATATAATAATGGCTTGGTGATGATGAACTACTTTAGCTTTACCTTGTCTGGGAAGCACTTTATCTGCTCTTCCATTCTAAATGATAGCTTTGCTGGATAGAATAATCTAAGTTATAGGCCCTAGCTTTTTATCACTTTGAATACTTCTTGCCATTCCTTTCAAACTTGCAAAGTTTCTTTTGAGAAATCAACAGACAACCTTATGGGAGCTCTTGTGTAGGTAACTATCTGCTTTTCTCTTGCTGCTCTTAAGATACTTGCTTTACCTTCAACCTTTGGCACTTTAAAATGATGTGTCTTGGTGTGGTCCTCTTTGTGTCCAGCTTATTTGGGACTGTCTGTGCTTCCTGGACTTGCATGTCTATTTCCTTCACAAAATTAGGGAAGTTTTCTTTTGTTATTTTTTCAGATAAGTTTTCATTTTCTTGATCTTTCTCTTCTTCCATGACCCTTATGATTTCACTGTTGGTACGTTTGAAGTTGTCCCAGAGACTCCTTACCCATTTCTTCTTTATTTTTTTTTTCTTCTTGCTGTTTTGATTAAATATTTTTTGCTTCCTTGTGTTCCAAATCATTGATTTGATTCTTGGCTTCATCCACTCTACTGTTGATTCCCTGTAAATTTATCTTTATTTCACTTAGTGTAACCTTCATTTTTGTGAGTCTTTTTTATGCTGTTGAAGTACGCAGTGAGTTCCTTGAGGATCCTTGTAACCAGTGTTTTGACCTCTGCATCTGATAGATTGCTTATTACCATTTTGTTTAGTTTTTTTTTTTTTCTGGAGTTTTGTTCTGTTTTTCATTTGGGTCTCTCTTTTTTTTTTTGTCTGCTCATTTTGACAACTTCCCTGTGTTTGTTTCTATGTAGCAGGCAGAGCTGTGCTTTGACTCCCTGTCTTAGTAGCATGGCCTGTTGTAGAAAAGCACACCTGTGAGTTGGACGCGGTGTAGCCTCAGGTTTTTGCCAGGGCAGGGCAACCCCTGTAAACCAGGTTGATGGAGTCTCAGATATGGTGTTGCTGCTCTGTAGCTCTGGGTGGGGGAGGGCCCAGAAAAGGGACAATGGCCACTGTCTGGCCTCTGGAGTTTTGTCCGGGAGGAAGCTGTCCCCTGGTACTTACCCTGATGCCAGACATTTCAGTTTCCCCCCGTATGCCACTGGTGCCCTTCCAGCTGCTGCCCTGGTGCTGGAGCCCAGGGGAGTGAGTCTGTGTAAGTCCTAAGTCCACTGTGGGCCCTTTAAGAGAGCGGTCCCCAACCTTTTTGGCACCATGGATGGTTCCTTGGAACACAATTTTTCCATGAACTGAGGAGAGGGAGATGGTTTTGGTATTATTTAAGTGCATTGCATTCAAGCTTACCTCCTGCTGTGTTCCCAGGTTCCTGACAGGCTCAGACCAGTACCAGCCTGGGCTGCAGCCCAGGGGTTGGAGACCCCTGCTTTAAGAGGAGACACCTGAGAAACTCACAGGTTCTTCCACCACCCCAACTGCCACTGGTTTTTATAGCCAGAAGTTATGGGGACTTAACCTGGCACTGGAACCCTGGGCTGGGGGTCTGGTGTGGTGCTGGGATCCCTCGCTCCTGAGGTATCCTTCCCGATTTTTATCCACCACATGTGGGTGTGGGACCACCCATTCTGTGTCTCCGTGTCTCTGTGTCTTTGCCCCTCTTCCCCGTCTGGATGGATGTGATTTCTTTAAGTCCTTGGTTGTTGGACTTCCATACAGCTTGATTTTCTGCCGGTTCTGGGTGATGGTTGGTTTGTCGTTTAGTTGTAATTTTTGCTGTGGTTGTGCGAGGAGGCAAGCCAGGAAGTGAGCTGTGTTACCTGCGCCTCCATCTTGTGATTTTCAGAGTCAGGCCCTTGAGGGCCTGTTGCATCGGCCTTGGCGGCTTTTCCTTTTTCTCCTTCTGAGACTGGGAGTGAGGCCCACATCCGTATCCCTGCATGCCTGCAGGTCCCTGCGAGTCTGCAGGGCTGCACGGGGCTGGGGCAGAAGTCCGCATGGGCGGCTGCGCGGAGGCCAGGCCTGTGTGCCCCACTCCTCTGATTTCCAGTGTCAAGAACAGGGAAGGGCCGATTCTATTCCTCTCTTCTCCAGCTGTGGCCGAGAGGGTGGGCTCTGAGACTGGGGCAGCGAGTGCCCTTGGCTGACTCGTAGTGACTAGGGGGACTGAAATCTGAAACAAGGTAGCAGCTTTCATTCAACCCTGGTCGGTAAGGGTTGGTGGTGGGAGGTGGCGAGGGGAGAGGCAGAGCAGTAGGAAGGGGAGCAGAAAGGGGCGTTTCCTGAAAAAAGAGAGATGCTGTTCCAGGCAAAAGTAAGCAGAGTTTTTTTTTTTTCCATTAGTAGTCTTTTGGGGAAAATGTCTGCTTTATTCAGTTCAGTTCAGCAAACCAGGTTAACATTATTTTATAGAATTTGGTTCTGAGGAAAAAGTTAAAAATGAAAACCTTTACAATTCAGTGCTTCCTTTATCTCCGTCTCTGTTGCTGCACCTGTATGTGTGCCGTCTCCTCCAATCGTCACAACCACTGGAAGTGTGAATTTCCACCGGAGGGAGTGAGAAGAGGTTCCGAGAGTTGAGATCAGTTATGTGACTGGCTGGAGCGAGGCAGAGCCAGAATCCAGATAACCAGGGTTTCTGGAATGTCACCCAGGGCACTTTCTACCACATGGACTTGCTTTCTGATTGACTGCATTCAGAAGATGTATAGGGTCAGTTACAACAACGGTCCTATGTGTTAAGTGCTTGATAAGAATGAGTCATGAGTAGTATGCTATATTGGGAAAGGAACCTTAGCGAACATAAGCAGTACAGTGGTCCTCAAAGACAGCCCAGGCAGCACTCCATGGGGGGGAGCGCCTCTTGGAGGCAACTTTGAATACCTTTTGTTTAGGGAAATGGAGAGCCAGGCAGGGTAAGCAAATGACTTGTCACTTTCACATAATTGTGTATTACAGGGATTTCAACCCCATTCTTGTTTTCAGTTGTAAGAGGAGTGACAGTTTGTTAATGGAAAAACCATGGAACTTACAAAAATCAGTTTGAGTTGAGAGTTACCCTAATTTTATTCTTCAGTTTGGTGGTACTTTTGTAGCATGTCATATGCACTTCATAGCTCTGATTAAACGTGTTGCATTTAGTACTGTTCGTTGAGTTAGACGGCTCTCTGAGCGAGGCTAGTCTTTTATCTGTGGAACTATTCACACTATATTTCTTACACGGCGACTCCTCCTATAAAATATATCCTCTATATATACATATTTCAATGGGAGGATTTCAGAATTTGGATGGATAAAATTCATGTAGGTAATATTTAGACCTTGCCTGGGAATGTGAAGTGCAGCACAGAGAATACAGTCAGTAATGTTGTAACAAATACATGCAGTGCCAGGTGGGTGCTGGACTTACTGGGGGGATCACTTTGTAAACTGAACAAATGTTTAACCACTCTGCTGTACACCTGAAACTAATACCAAATAATGTTGAATGTCAGCTGAAATTGAAAAATAAAAAAATATTTAGACCTTGCTGATACTGATAACTTTGATGTGTGTTCCAGTTTTGAATCTCTCTTCTTTTCAGTTAGAAACGTGAACAAGTGGTGCATTGGGTAACAGGACGTTAATCTTCAGATGGGATAAAAGAAGATTTCTTTGTGTTTCCCGTGCCCTGAGTTTTGTTTTCTCCTTTCAGGAGAGTCAAGCCCCACCCGGCGAGAAGCTGTGAAGAGAAGAACGGCGGAGTATCTCATGCGAGCCGAGAGTCTGTCCAGCTGCTACAGGAAACCTCAGCCGGATGATGCATCTCAGGTACATACGTACGTCTTGTGTTGCATTTATATGTTCTTTAGCCATTTTTGCTGTCTTGTGTCTCAGCTTTATTGCTAATTAGAGTGTTTGAGAGTTTGGGTCTCTGGAATTTTACCAGTAATTTTCTTAAGTTATCGGTGGAAAGAACGGCATTAAAGCAAACCACCAAAAATGAAATAAAATGGAACTGTGTTCTTCTCTTTCTCAGCTCTTTGTTTCTTGCTTTACTCCTAATATCTGATTTATGCTGAATTTTTTTTAAATTTTTTTTAATTTTTTTTAATTTTTAATTTGCTGTGATTCTCCTACAATTTCTGGACAGTTTTATTGATTCATGCTAGAACTAATCATTTAAGTATAAATTGATCACCTAGAATTATAAAGGTGTAATTCTAACAAGGATGTTTAGATTATTGGGGACTGCCTGTAGTCTTGTCTCAAAGACAGGTGAATGCTTGAAGCATTAGAAACATTGTGGTTTATTACTATTTCATTTTTTTCTTTTTAAAGATTTTATTTATTTTTAGGGAGAAGGGAAGGCAAGGAGAAAAAGAGAGAGAGAACCATCAATGTGTGGTTGTCTGTCAAGTGCCCCCAAATGGGGACCTGGCCTGCAATCCAGGCATGTGCCCTGACTGGGAATCGAACCAGCGACCCTTTGGTTCACAGACCCATGCTCAATCCACTGAGCTACACCAACCGTGGCTATTACTGTTTTTATATCATATCTATCTGATTTGGCACATTTCTGGAAAAAACTTTTGAATTATTTTTCTTGATATTAAACCAATTTTTTTTGATGCAATTTAAGAGTCATATCTTCTAGAAATGGGAGAAAATATTTATTTTCTTAATTGAACTAAGAGGCAGGCAGGCTTGTTCAGATCTCAACTCGCATTTGAAGCCATGGAAGATCAGACAAGACACTTCACTACATTTTTTAGCTTCAGTTGCTACATCTGAACAGCGAGGATCATAGTAATTCTTTGCTGGGTTCTTGATGGGATTAAATGAATTTAAGAAAAATCACTAAAAAAATGGACATGCACACACACACACATAGATACAAATCAGGTGCCCACCATGTAAAGAGACCAGCCTATAAGCCAAACGTGTATGACTAGATTAATACCTTACCAACCTCCTTATTTTCCATCTCCCCTTGTATACTGCTTTATAAACGTCTTTCTTACATTTTTTATGCTTTTTATACCTTTTGAAAAATGACAAAGCATCTCAATTTCCTAGTTAAAAAACAGCCCAATATTTAATCTTGATTCATTGGACCATTTAAACTTTGTTGCTGATTTTCTGAGCCCTTTTCATTTTCTGTGTGACCTTTTAAAACACTCAGTTACCAAAAGTATACTTATTATTGAGTTTTCTGTTGAGTATTGGACCATTTTGGGGGGGAACAAAAAGAAATTACTTTCCATCTTGGAAGTAACATACTTTTGTGTCTTGTCCTAACATAATGCATATGTTTTAAATGATATATCTGCTGATGCATTTTCAGATTGTTGATTATTGTGACTCTTCTGTATTATTTGCCAGTCTTTTTCTGTATTTTGTCATTGTTGTTGTGATTATATTGTTTAATTTCTTTAACTCTTCACTATTGATTTTTATCTTTTTTAAATGAATTATTTATCTAAAGATTACTTTGAATTCAATTCTTACTGTGTGTGGGGTTGGCAGCCCCCCAGGGGTGCGGTCCCGATGTGCACATTCTCAGTTCTATTTTGGGGATGTTGATAAAGTATTAAATAAGATGGGTCCTTATGAACTTGTTCTATTAAATATATCCTGTAAATAAATATTCTAAAAGTTTTAGAGCGTCAAAATTTCCAGTATTCTGTCCTTTGCATTGACATTAACTTTGAATATTCTACCTGTACTTACTCATTCAAACTCTCTGCTTATACATTTGCTGTTAGAGTTCCTTGTAATCACTTTTATGAGCAATAGTTTATTAGGAAAATAAGTATATAAAGTTTGCTGTATCGCTTTTGACTTGGAGAAAGGCACCATGAAGTATATCAGTCAGAATTTCCCTTCAATCATTGCTTTTAATGGAAATAAAACTAAAGAGATATAATGCAGGAAAGTTGATTGTTAGATTATATATTAATTCACTGAGTGTCTTTTAAGACTGTGTATGTATACAAAAGCAAACTAGACATACTTTGGAGTTATACAAAAGATGGTGACAGCTTCTGCTCTTGCAAACCCTGTAGCATAATTGAAGACCCAAAATATGTACATAATTGAGGAGATAAAAGAGAAAATGGTAAGAGCCATGTAGAATAATGACAGTTTGGGCCAGAAAGGGTCAAGAGGGGTACCAGATTGATATACTAGAATTTTTTTTCAGTTTTTAGGCAAGAAGACTAGAGGAGAGTTTTTCTTGCTAGAGCAAGATGTTTTTCTTTTATAGTAAGCAGTTGCTTTTTATTTTCATTTTGTATTTTATTCTATTAAATCTGGCCCTTGTTTAGGTCAGGGACATGCTTGATTATTTTCTTACCTTAAATTCAACTTAAATGTTGAATTTAAGGTAAGAAAGGTTAGAAAGGTAAAGTTAGAGGAATTTAAGGTAAGAATGGTAAGGTTAGAGGTTTTTTTTTTAGCTTGGTGAGTTCATTATTTGTCTCCATTTAACTGTCTTTGGGCCTCAACTTCAATGGACACAATGAAAGAACTAGTATAAATGATTTCTAAGGCCCCTTTAGCTCTTAAATTCTGCATAAAGAAGATATTATTTTTCTTTTGATTTCATATGCAAATATTTCTTTTCAGCTTGGTTGATTAAAGAGAATACAGGAATCCTTTCTGATTTAAAATTTTTTTTTGATTGCTGTTTCTCCCTTTGGTGCAGACTAGTTCATGACTCACTCCACCTGAGTTTTCTGTGATGGTTTAAGTTTTTGCTGTATTGAATTTATTTATGATACTCTTAGGTGGTAAATATAGAAGTCCTGAATTTGCTAGTCATTGCTAGTAATAATAGCCTTTTCAAAAAAGGGTAGAAAGGAGCAAAAGCATTTTAGATGCTTTAAATATTTTAGATAATATTTAGGAAATATTTCTCCTACCGTTTTTTTTTCCCCTTCATTACTTCATTACTAAAGGGCTCCAAGAAAAAAAAAATACAGGTTTCAAAAAAAAGGAAATGATCTGTGTTTGAAGTGTAAGGGTGAAATCTTAATTGAAGGAGACAGATTTTTAAACTTTTTAAAAATTAAATTATAGATGACTTTGAATGATTTAAGAATTAATATTAAAAGGGGATTTCCCTGGAAAAGAGTGGATATAGCTTTTTTGCTATTTTTAGCTGTAGGAATTTTAAACTCAAGATGAAGGAAAGAAAAACACAGTAAACAGTCTAAATTTTGGACATCAAAAATTTTATCATTTCTGAAGTGTAAATACATTGTCTTGTCATGCATTACAAGGTGTGAGGGAATGTTAATGTGTGGAACGTGTGCTTCTGAATGTTTTGTAGATTTTGAATACAGTTGCTATAAGAATATTGACAATAGCTTTCTGTTGTGCATTTTATTTGCTGGTATTATTGGTATTTCTCAAATCTTTAGAAAAATATTTTAAAATGAGCCTTGTGTCACTTTTTGGGAGACATGGGCAGAGCTGAGCTGGCGGTCAGGGGTGTTCCAAGTCAGTCCTTGGGCCGCAGTGAAGAGTCACCCTTGCGATGTGGCCTGAGAGAGGCTTAGGGGCCTGGGTATGGAGGGTTAATAGGAACCCAGTGAATGTCTTTGCAAAGTCAAGAATCTAGAGATGAAGCCAAGTTCAGAAACTGGAATAGTTAGCCATTGGGGTTTGGAGTGTGGGTACTAGACAGGTTCTATGTAGTGTTTTTCCTTAGCCCTTGATTACCTATTTCCTCCCAAGGAATGCTGACTTACAAAGGTTGTTTAAGGAAGAGTAGCTGCCCTGACTTCAAATGTGGTTGCTGGACCAGTAGCATCACATCTCCTAGGATCTCTTTGGAAATGTGGAATCTTAGGGTCCCCCAGACGCAGTGAATTGGAATCTCCTTTTTAACAGGGCCCTTAGCTGGTGTGCATACATGTTCAAGTTTGAGAAGTGCTGCACTAGCAGGTTGCTAAGAATAGGTGGAGATCACCTTGAGAACAGGAATAATATCAAGTGAAAAAGACTGTGGGCAGGATAAACAGCAACTTTTAAAAACTCCCTAAAATGAAAACAAGGGTAAGCTTCACTTAGCCTTTTAGAGAATGTGGAACAGAAACGGTAAATATGTTTTACTAGTGTGCTGACTCTAATCCGTGGGCGCTGGCTGCCCAGGGGCACTATATGGTGAGACAGAGTGGGATTAACAGAGACGTCTGCCATGGGTTTAAGCAGTTGAGTGACGTGTGCTTGCTGTCTGTGGTTTTGAAGATTATTGGGTCATCAGTATTCTAGCCTCTTCCCCCTCCTTGACCTTTGTATTTACTTTTGGTATGAATGTAAACAACTGTTACCATTGGTATTTAGCTGATTATTAATAAGGAAAGGCAAGCCAAGGAACTTAGACATTGAGCTTAATAGACCAGGGAGCATAAGCCTGCTTACACCCCACCAGGAAGCCACAGCTTCACGGGTCCAGGGGATTACAGCGTTTCATTGCTCTGCCAAGGGGATTAATACTCCTCCCATCTCCCCTCCCATACGGAATTGTTGAGGGGTTCAGGGGGTGGTGCTGGACCATAGAGGCCTGTCATCCTAACTAGGGGGCATAAAAACTTGGGAGTTGATAGGTCTTTTTGAAAAAACTTCTGGTCTTTTCCAATCCAAGCTAATATAATCCCAGGGGAACAAAGAATTGATTGATCGATCTCTTTCTCTTCCTCCCTCCCCCCATGACCCACACTCACGCAGTGCCCACACCTGTTCTCTCCATGGCCATGGGACCCTAGCAGCCCCATGACCCTTGGCTGTGCGAACTCCACACACAGGGTCCAGGAGGGAGCCTGAACCCCGCAGCACAGCAGTTGGCTGTAGCTGGAAACACACACTAAATGAGCCAAATGCTGGACTGAACTGAGCTTTACTATGGCCTGGGACCTCTGGGCACTGTTTCCAACTCTGATTTCCATGGTGGGACGCAGGGAGATGGGGCATTAGAAACCCAGGGGGCAGCTTCTAGTTCTAAGTTCTACACGAATAAACCATTTTGCCACACCACATTTTTCCCTGCATGGGCCCTTGGGATGCTTTTCTTGGGATCCTGTGGAAGAGTCTAATTCCCACCGGCAACACAGCTACTGCTTGCCTCTCTAGGCATCTTCTGTTACAGTAACTAATGCATGTAAGTGAAAATCTTACTGTTTTCTTAAATTAAGGAAATCAGGCATGTTGCCTAGAAATAACACTGACTCCTCCCCCACTCCCAAAGCATTGGCTGAAGTTTCCCAAAATAAAGTCATGTGTTATTTCATGAGTAAGATTTAATTCCCTCCTGTCTATTGCCTAGTTCTATCATCGTAGACAAATTGCTTCACTTTGTTGCTTCTCAGTTTTCTCATGTAAGAAAGGGAGAATGTTGGACTTGATCTCTCTCTGTTCTTAAAATTCCGTGGATTTCTGTTTCGTTTTGCTATCTGCAAAAGGAATAGATCTATGGGGATTCTACCCAATTTAAATGCTGCTTATAAGAAATATAGGATTTTTTATTGATGATTTCATTTCATGATCTTTCTTTGTTCATTTCTTTGATCTTAAACTTTTACAGGCGGTGAAAGTAGAAAGAGCGCTTTAATGATCACTTTACCTTTGGTCTTTCACCATTACTCTTTCACCATTGTCATCTCTACAGAAGTAACCTTATTAAATCACTGTTTTCACCGGGTTGTTTCTTGTACAGAAACTTATTTTCCAGAGTCTGGATAATACAGGTTAGACTTTTCTTTCTGGCATTCAAGGCCTGTGAAAGCTGGTCCCAAGTGTGATACTTTATTTTCCTCTGTTCTACAATGTGACTGTTTTCCCCCAGCTAGGCTGGTTTCCTCCCCATCCTGCATGTAACACCCTTTTTCTAACCTAATTTCCATGTAGCATTTGAAATCACCTTTAGTTCTACTTCTTTCTGAGACCAGTTTATCGTACACTAACTAGTGACTTGTCTCTGTGGTCTTGTATTTTTAAGAAACTGTTATTTGCCTTTTCATGTATTTGGCTTATCTCCTCAAACTATAAACTTCTTGAAGCTGGTGACTGCCTTTTGATGTTTTATATTCTTTTTTGTTATAATGCACATTGCGAGCTCATAGTAATTATTTATGGAAAGGTGCAGTAGAGATTGTGTAGATTGTTATCTTTGCTGTTGAGATTGCCGGATTGAATGGAGAGCTGATACCTTTCTTCTGGAGCCTGAGAGATCCAGTGACATCAGTGGGTAAGAACGTACACGCAGGAGATAGGGAGGTTCCTCTGGCCGCGTTTCAGAGACAAATGTAATGGGTAAATCATCACTGAATGTATTCTTTTTTCCCCGTAAACTTTCCTCAGCATTTCTTTTACCAAAATTACAAGCAGTTCTTATTCTTTCTTGAGAATAGAGTAGGGGAAAATTAATTTTTAATTGTCAGACTATGTTGTGTAGCAGGAAGATTATAGGCAATAGAGTTGGGTCTAGATTAGGATCTTCCACTAGTCTTTCTGGCCACAAGCACTCAGCTATGGTGAGCTCCCTCCCCTTTGTTTATCTGTAAAGTGGGGATTATTGTAACTTCTTGTGAGTACTCCCCTCGGGGCATGGTGAGGGATAAAGGTGAAATGATGTAAATTAAGAAAGAAGGTACTGTTTCTGTTGTATGTCTGTTAAAAGCCCCTGCTAAATGTTTTTTCTAACCTTGAAAACATTTAGGATTTTGAGCTTTTAGGGAGGCAGAGATGTATTGTTTTTTTTTTTAAATGTCATCAAGCACAGCACCTCATGAAATATTAAATACGTATTTTTTGAAACATTGCCTAGAAGTATAAATTAAATCACTTTTAAATGATTATCCAGTCCAATTACTGTTATCGTCTCCCTTCTCAAGTTAAGTCTTTTTTAAAAAGTTGTCTTCTTTTTAAAGTCAAACATCGCTGCTTCAGGTATATTGAAGTCAGTATTTGCTTGCTCAATCTCAAAACAAAACAGAAAACAAAGGCAACCATAAGTGCTGCTTGTGGAAAACATCACCAGTGAATTTTTTTTCATTTGTAAGTAACACCTGCTTTATTTCTGCAGTCCCCTCCCCTTTTGTTTCCCTCTCTCGTCCTCCTTCCTCCCCGTTCTGCCCTTCCCGCTCCTCTCAGCGGACAGGCTGGGCTTGTGAATATAAAGACGAACAAGCCATGTTTTCTTTTCCCCAGGAGCTTCCCGTCTGGTGGTGGTGGTCTGCCCAAGTACTCGAAACATGAAAAATGGTGTCTCGGTTACTGTTACTCAAGACATTTGATTAACCCTGGTTATTTGTCTTCCATTCATAGGGGAAACATGGTTCCTAGGGAGTCTGATGGGTTTTTGACAGCAAAAAGGTCTGCCTTGAGGAAGTAATGAAATAAAGCCTGTGTTTCCTGTCACCCTTTGCAGCATCACCGGTTTAACATAAGGGGTAATGCAGCATTGCTTTCTGGCTATAAATGCCAAATGGAGGTGTTTTTGGAGTTATCTAGTCTGATGTCTTACTTTACTGATGGGGAAAAACTAAGATCAATGGATGGGAAGTTAGTATTATTCTTTTATTGTATGTAGTGCTGAAATACGCCTTTCTGTGTTCACTGATCTTTTTGGGTTTTTTTTGTAGCTAACAGATTAAGTTTTCCACATCAGAGATATTCACATATTTAAACATTTTTCTCCTGTAAATCATCTCTTCTCTACCTTAAACAAGTTTAGTTTAGCAATTATTTTGTTATATGGTGGAGTTTCTTGATTTTTCACCATGACTGGCACTTCTTCTGGATGAACTTGAATCTGCTAGTCCATCTTAAAAAACATAGTGTATATTTATAAAATAACACAAATGGACTATAGTTTCATGATGAGAGAGAATGACTTGTATTCCCTCACAGCCTAAGTTTGTCTATTTTTACATTGTTTTGTAGTTCTCTGTTCTAAATTACTCTTGAGCCATCTGAGGTAAATATGAGGCTGTGATTGATTGTTGGCTCTGTCATACACTTGTTACAAAGTTTCATTTTAATTGTACAGTTCTGAACTGCATTATAGTGCTAGAAGCTATCAGCTCATTAAGTTTTCTTTTTAAAAATTTTCAATGTTATGATTTATTTACTTGCAACTTTTTTCTTGCTTTTTCTTTTTGATTTTCTTTATTTTTGATATTTTTTTAACAGACAAACAGAAACTTCTTTCATCTTCCCATTCTCTGATTTATGATAAATTTAGTTTCCTTTGGCCTGGCATTTGCTTCAGCAGGCAGTCTTCCTTCAAGTACCTCCCTGATTGATGTATAATCTTTGATATCTTTCATTAGCCTCCAGGATCACTAAGTTCAAGGCCCCCTTGGAACCTAAGGAGCCCTGCCGAGGAGCTGAAGGCCTTCAGAGTCCTTGGGGTGATTGACAAGGTAATTCTTCAGTGCCTCTTCAAGAGTTCAGTCATAAATCGACCTCATGCTGACATTATGTCTTTGAAGCTTTGGATCTTAAGAATATGAAACAAAAGGAGAAAATGACTCAAATGCATCTGCACTTTAAAATAACAAAAGCAGAAGAGCAAAAGCTTTTATCTAAGCAATTCATGTAAGGTCATGCAAAATATATTGGAGGTAAAGGAGAAGGTGCACATTTGTTGGCATTCAGTCGAGCAGGGGTTTGGAGTGTAAACCTGTTGTAGCAGGGTAAACTTCTGTTGGGTACAAGAACTTGGGAGTCAGTAGTTGCTTGGCATTAACTGGTGTGGTCAATCTAATAGTCACAAAGAAAAATGGCATTCTCTCAACTACTGTTTATTGAGTACCTACTGTGCGTCAGACCTTGTATTAGGCATTTTATATAAAACAACTTAATTTAATTCTTCTCACAACTCTTGTTATTTGCATCTTGGTGGGAAAGTGATGTTTAAAACAGGTTAAGTAATATGCCCAAAGATCATACACGCACATAGCTAATTCAGGGGAGGTTGGGAATTCCAACTTAACCTTTGTGATTTCAAAAGCTGTGTCCTCCATCCCTCCCTCCCTTTCTTCCTTCTTTCCTACCTCCCCTTTTTCCTAAATCCCTCACTTGAGGACATGCTTATTGGTGTTAGAGAGAGAGGAAGGGAAGGAGAGAGAGGGGGACAGAAACATTGATGTGAGGTGGAAACATTGACTGGTTCCTCTTGTGTGCACCCGATCCAGGAACTGAACCTGTGACCTTTGGGTTTATGGGATGATGCCCCAACCAACTGAGCCACCATAAAATCCATACTTTTAAAAAATATACTTAGCCCCTCTTCCACAAACACATACACATACTTTTATATTTGGAATAAAAATTCCAAAATAACAGAGACATCTGCCATTGAGTTCCTTCCCTCCAATTTGGTGACATCTCAGCTAAAATTAACAGTACTAGTCCTCTTAGAGAGTTTATAAGTGGATTGAAAAACCATATACAGTAAACTATGTTTGAAATATATTTGATGAACTCTTTTTTTTTACCTTTCAATGTTAATATGGCATAAATTAATTTAGATTTCTTTTTCAAGATTTTACTTATTTATTTCCTCTTATTTACAGAGGAGAAGGGAGGGAGAAAGAAGGAGGAAAACATCAATGTGTGGTTGCCTCTCGTGTACCCCCTACTGGGGACCTGGCCAGAAACCCAGGCATGTGCCCTGACTGGGAATCAAACCAGTGACCCTTTGGTTCGCAGGCCAGCACTCAATCCACTGAGGCACACCAGCCAGGGCTTCTTATGTAGCACCTTAGTGGTCATTTGTTAACTTCATGTTCACTGAGTACTTCTTGTGTGATTCCATGCTAAAATCGAACAGTATGCAGTGTATCTCAGGTAATTTAGACAGTAATTCAAAGTTTGAGGTATTCCAAAAGGAACGTTAGGTTGGCTATTACATGCACCATTCAGTGTTTTACTAAATTCTTACAAGCATCATTGTTTTTCTCAAATAAATTTATATGACTGAATTTTGAACTTAAGGACTTCTAAGCAGTAGTGTTGCAGGTGGGTACAGGTAACCAGGTTCTTGGTAATCAGGACAAAGAATTGAACCGAATTTATAGCAGAGAACATGGGAGAGAGCAGGCCAACTCCAAGCAGAGATTGACTTCATGGGGTGGAGGGACTCTATTTTTATAGGGTGGATCTTTCCTGGCTAGTTTTGGTGGGCTTTTACTGAGCATGTGCAAGTAGTTGCATTACTTTAAAGCTACTGCACATGTGGTCTCCCATGATTTTCCCTGATTGACCACCAGGGAAGAGGGTCCCACAATGGTACCGAATTGACCCCCCTTTCTCCTGGGGTCCCCCTGTACTAGGTTCACCTTTCCCTTCGCCAGAGAATTATACCTCTCCATGTTAGAGATTGGTGAAAAGGAAAGGAATTATTTATTCAAGTTATACAGACTTAAGAGTAATGACTTAATGTCTTTATCAAAATTCCAGACTCCCTTAAAACACCCACAAACACACACAGTCCTTCCTTCCTTCCCCCTTTGCCCAGTCTGGGGTACTGTATCTCAGGAAAAGAAATAGAAGTCCGTGGCTCAGGCAGCCCCTGTTCTTCCCAGTAATCTGTGCTCGGCTGGTCGGCTTCCCTCGGTTCCCAGCACCATTAGCTGTGTTGCCGGGATCCCCAGCTAAAGCCACGTGGTGGTTTTCTGCTAAAGCTGCATGGTGATTCTTCTCATGGCTGCGGGTGAGTGGGGGGTCCCTCCATTCTGGCCAAAGCCACGTGGTTCTCCTCACTGCCACAGCCACATGTTCCTTCTCCTTACACGGCCGCAGGAGTCTTCACTCAGCCAAAACCACATGGTTCTCTCCTCAATGGCCACTGAGTCTGGGTTTAAATATCCTCCCAGCTTTACTGGGCTGCCATCATGAGTCTGGGCAGAGGTGGCCCCATGTCATGGAGCCAATATTCTCCAAGCTCTCACGCAGGCGCTGTAACTAGGGGGAGTTGCCTCCCAGTTACATCTTGGGGGGAAGTTCCTTCCATCCCCCTGGCTCAGAGCATGGCCACAGCTATTTAACATATCTATGCAACCAGTTAAAGGTTACAGATATGTCAAATGACCATGCCAGAGGTTAGCTGCAAAGGTTAGTTGCTATGCAAAACAGCTCTGAATGGCCCTGCTCCATGTGTCCCTTCCCCCAACTCACACCTGTGGTGGAGGGTGAGGACATCCTATATATTTTTCTAATATTTCCTGGACACCTTGAGTTCTGGACCCCATTACAAATCCTTCTTTTGGGGGCCCCCTGGCTGCACCCTCCTACAGTAGGACTTTGGAGCTGGAAATAATGCCTTAACCATGTATTCTGTAGCTTTTCCAACTTGGCGAACATTCAGATTGAGGATACTGAGAAGCAAAATAGGAACTGAATAGTTCCTAGGTTCTTGGATTTCTGCACAGACAAATAAACTTTTTTGATGTACAGTGTCTGCCCCTTCTCTTAGATTTGTTTATTTTGACAAAGTATGTCCTTTCATTGCTATTCTAATTAGGAGTAAGTCACCTTGAAGTTCTGATTTATTCAATTAAGGACTTTTGAAAGTGAGGAATTCCTAAAGTTTTTGCTGAGGTATAATTTGTTCCTGTCTTTACTCTGTTAACCTGGGAAATACGTTTGGTGTTTAGAAGGTGGCATTTAACTTTTCTAAGTAGAGAGAAGCAAATATGTATGGGAATTAAGTTTTGCAAATAATCTTTTAAGATGTGTAACATAGCCTTTCTTTTGCAAGAACATGAATAGGTAAATTTTTTAAAATTTGCATTGTATTTAAAGATAAACTCCTATCCACTGTACTGAGGAATACTTAAAATTCGGGTTTTACAAACTTGAAGTTTGGAAAAGAAGAACATATTCAGATGGCTAGAGGTACACAGGCTACGTGGGTCCAGCCTGTGCAGAACACAGCTTCTCTGACTCTGTTTCATTACAGTAGTGTTTGTTCCTCACGAGTTACTTTGAGTGTTGTTGTCTGTTAGGAAAACAGAATTTCCCTAGGATGGTATAGGATTTTAACAAATTGATTAGAAAGAGAGAGAGAGAGAAACATGGATTTGTTGTTCCACTTGTTTATACATTCATTGGTTACTTCTTGTCTGTTCCCTGCCCTGGGATGTGCGTTGGCATATTGGGACGACACTCTCACCGGTCAGGGAGAGTTTATAAGCTTTAACATTGAAAGTAGATTTGTTCATTAATATCTAGACCATACACTCCTGAGAACAAGATTGTGTCTTTCTTGTTCACCTCTATATTCTCAGCACCTAGAATCCTGACTGGCACATAAGGGACGCTTAATAATTACTTAATGAATAAATTGAAGCTGTAACTTTAAATACTATATTATATAGAGAGTGACACCTACTGGTGTAATGTGAGACTGCTATGTAGTACCACTGTTGAAGATGCTTTTACTCAGGCGGACCCTAATTCCATAGCTGTAACTTGGTCTAGTATTCACAGGCAAATTAGTGACTATCTGTTCTTTAATTGGGATTAGGAAATTCTTTGTAAGCATATATATATACCACAAGGAATTTAAGCATTAGGGCTCTTGGATTATAAATAAATGGTTATGCATTCAGGATCAAGAATGATAAGACTAGTGAAGGCCTCAAGTCTATACAGAAAAGCTGGAAACTGAGTGATGGTTAACCTGATAAAAACGTGTGGTGGCCCTGACTGGTGTGACTCAGTGGGTTGGACGTTATCCCGCTGAGTGAAAGGTCGTTGATTCAATAGCCAGTCGGGGCTCATGCCTAGGGTGCAGGTTCGTTCCCTGCGAGGGTGCAAACAAGAGGCAACCAATCGATGTTTGTCTTCAGCATGGATGTTTTTCTCCCTGTCTCTCTCCCTTCCCCTCTCTCTAAATGAAAATAAAGATTTTTTTAAAAAAGGTATGATGTTTATATTTTGGGGGACTATGCAGTATAGAGGGGACTGTATAATATTTTGTTCAAATCTTGAGGGTGGAAGGAGGTATAAATTATGCCAGAACAACATCTCGGACAAAGCAGGGTGTCTGGTTTTCCTGGGAGCAAGAAAGGGATGTAGTAAGGGATGGGACTTCTTTGTTAATATCCTTCTAGGACGCAGCTAGAACCAAATGACTAGAAGTTGTCAAAATTTTGGCCAATGATCAGAGATACCTTTAAAGAATTAGGATTGTCCAAAGGCAGACTGGGTTTCCTCACATCTTATTTGTTTTATGCCATTAGAGATATTCAGGAAGGGGCTGAGGGGTCTTTGGTAGGGATACTGTAGAAGGAATTCAAGCACTGACTGGATTTTTAAGTTATATAACTTCCAAAGATTTCTTTTAGCCCTCAGATTCATTTACACATCATCTTCACGTAGTAATAGCAGGGGAAAGTAGAGATTAGTGGAGAATCATACTTGGGTGAGAAGGATGGATTGCTGTTGTTTTTAAATATATTTGTTCATGTGTGGGCGCACGCTTTTGTGTTTGTGTGTGACAGGTATGTGTATATAGGGTGAGCATATGTTTGTGTGTGTAAGGGTTGTTTATGTGCAGGTAATTTTCAGTTGAGCTGTAAGTCTGGGTGGGTATTGCAATTTGACTGTTGATAGGATGGCCAGGTGCTGGGAGAGTTTCTGAGAAAGTCCACAGTGTGTGACTTACCTAGAAAGGCGTAAAGGAGTCTGCAGGCCAGTAACCCGCGGTGCACTAATGTCAGTGGCCTGGTTTTCCCGTTGTGCTGTAGCGATGTAAGATGTCGCCATTGGGAGAAGCTGGGTAAAGGGTACTTGGGACTCTGCTACTTTTGCAGCCCTTTTAAAAAAGAGGGTTTTTTAAAGGCTAGGAAGAATACCGACTTGAACAACAGTTATAATGCCAACATGTGATCCCCTCGTCCAGACTGGTTTGTATGTAGTGAGTCATCCAGCATGTGGGTGCATGCATAGCATTCACAGGATTAACCCGTGAAGATGTTGTAGCTGGGTTACCCATTCATTGGCACTCCTTGAAAACCAACTTCAATAGAATGCTCTGTAAGTCATTGTTGTAAGAAATGCTACAAGTTCTGGCAGGGTAGTTCAGTCAGTTAGAGCGTCATCCTGGTAACGCTTGGTCTCAGGTTCGGTTCTGCGTCAGGTCACATGCAAGAATCAACCAATGAATGCATCGATGAGTGGAATAACAAATTGATGTTTCTCTTTCTCTCTCCCTCCCCCTCCCCTTAGCCTTCCCCCCTCCCTCCCTCCCTCAAACCAATAAATAAAAGAAAATGCCACACATTTTGTAAACTTGTCACTATTTACTATGTCAAGTGCTTTAGCATTTTGTGATGGAGACAGCTTGCCAACTTTACTTGATGCTTGCCAGGCAGTATTCTTAGTTTGACTTGCCATTGGGAAAAATATGAGAGTTTCTATTCTGTCTTTATGACATGATTGAGAAAATCTGTGGAGATTGTTCAGATTGACCCTCTAGGTGACACAGGGGAACCGCCCTCATCGGGAACCCAGAAGCATCTGCGCCTGAGTCTCTGCTTGGGGCGGGAACACTGAGGCAGGCTGGGTTAGTGGGAATTTGTCCTTTTACCTGAACAGTGGGGCAGGGATATTTCCGTTCGGCCTTTCACGTGGGAGGAGACCACACATACATCCATTCTCTTCAGATCCCGGCAATTTTAATCTGTCCCATTAGCATAGCCACCAAAATTATTAGGAGAAAATGTGGTAGTCCAGTGGGAAATTACCTAGTACCTTTAATGATACCAAATAACAGATGTTGAGTTTTGCTTTTGGAAACATAGAGTTGAAGTCTTTTTTCCCCATTTCTCTGCTCAGTGCAACTAAAGCTCTGGAGATGATACAGAAAACAAACATAAAAAGTCTCTGAAAAACGGAGAGTGGAAGGAAAACTGGCTGGTGACCCTGGGACCCAATGGGCTGCGTGGCGATGAACCCCTGCGTTTTGCCTTACTTACTCCGGGCTAGATGCGGGGAAATGGACAAGTTGGAAAGGCCAGCAGGCACGAATAAAAACCAACGGAACAAAAGCCTGGTCTTCCCAGCCAGAGGACTAGGGAAGGAGCAGCTTAGCAAGACAGAAAACTTTGAGACAATAACCACTCTACTGTAGCCAAACAGCACAGAAAAATGTCGGCCCTACCTCACCACCACTAGCAAAAGCCATGTGAGGCACCTAAACTTTGATCCTTGCAAGGCTGTAATAGGGTTCTGCATCCCCCTGTTGGGGTGGTGTTTTGGGGAGCCTGGACTGTTAGGACCCCTGGGGTAAAGAGGCTCCCCTTCCTTTCCCCACTGGGGAAGTGTCAGAGGGTCCTGGTAGAGGTTTTGGGTTTGACCACTGACTGCCCTGTGCAACGAAGCCACCTGCACAAGATGTCAGGAGAGTCCACTGAGGAGCATTAATGAGGCACCTTTGTCTTTCCCAGCCAAGGTGGCATCAGCAGAGCCTGAACTCTTGCCCCCACCCTGCAGTAACCAGGAGTCCCGTTTTCCTTCCTCACCTATCCGTGACAGCAGAACCAGGCACCGAACTTCCATCTCTGCCTGGGGTAACAAACCTGTTATTTCATCTCCCCATCAGAATGCCGGCAGGGGAAGACTGCTGAAGCAAAACGCTTAACCCTGGCTGGTGTGGCTCAGTGGACTGAGTGCTGGCTTACGAACCAAAGGGTCCTTGATTCAGTTCTGATCGAGGCACATGCCTGGGTGGTGGGCTGGGTCCTCAGTTCAGGGTGTGTGAAAGGCAACCACATATTGATGTTTCTCCTAAAAAAATGAATAAAATCTTTAAAAAGTATAAAAATTACTCAAGGAGATCCAGAATCTCATACTATAATATTCAAAATGTCCAGGTTTGCATAGAAAGTCACTGAGAAAAGACAGTCAGCTGACCCCGGCACTGAGCTGACAGAGAGGTTAGTTATCCCATGAGGAGTTTGCGGCGGCCATCATGACAGCGCTTTGCTGAGCTGCTGCAGACACACTGGAAACAAACAGGAAAGTCTCAGTGAAGAAACAGAAGGTCTAAAGAAAATCCAAATGGAGGTTTTAGAACCAAGAAATCAATAAGAGGGGGGAAAAAAGCCCTCAATGGGCTTAATAGCAGAACGGATAGGACAGAGAAAATTGTGCCATTTGACTATAGAACAATAGAAACCACCCAGTCTGAATGGAGAGAAATAGACTGGGAAAGGAATGAACAGAGACTCGGGAATGCATGAGTCTAAAATCAAAAGTTCTAATGTTCATGTCATCGGGGTTGCAGATGAAGAGGAGGAAGAGGGTGGAGCTGAGAATTATTTGAAGAAATAATGGGGAGACATCATCCTGCAGATTCAAGAAGTGAATCCCAAACAGGACAAAACAAATCCATGGCAAGGCCCATCATAGTCAAACTTCTCAAAAGTAAAGACAAAATTTGAAAGCAGCACAAAGGAAGCAACACTTATAAAGGAAAAACAGTTTGAATGACTACGATTTCTCATCAGAAACCATCAATGCCATAGGGTTGGCACATCATTTTTAAATGCTGGAAAAAAAAAACCCCATAAAAGAACCCTAATAATCTCCTACTTAGGGACCTAGTACCAGCAGCATTCTGGGAGCTCACAGGTAGCAGGGGACTAATGCACTCACCAACCTGGTATGCAGGTTTTCACACCACGTCCTGTTTTCAGTCCCACTGCTCAGTCCCACCTGCAGCTGTCAGGAATCTGATTTCACATCTTTAGAGAAGGAACTTCGAGTCTCCCCCAGGGAGGAGCAGGGCAGCTCTGGCTGGCTGTGCAGTGGCAGGAATGTATAAACTTTTCCCTTGTCCTCCGTTTTCAGGAGCTAGCTGGTGCTTCTCATTTCTGGAGTTCTGCAGTAAGAATTGGCTTGCTTCTTGTTGGCTTTTCCACCTGTAGACTTTTGGCATCTGTTTTCTGTCTACTAAACTTTTGCCATCTCTTCACATCTCTTGTTTGTCATTCTGTATGTTTTAACATTTGTTTACTGTGATGCAGTGGGGTTTCTATGGGGAATAGTGATCTACATTTAAAAGAATGTTAAATTTAATACATTGTGCCCTGGCTGGTGTAGCTCAATGGATTGAGTGCCGGCCTTCGAACCAAGGGGTCACCAGTTCAATTCCTAGTCAGGGCACGTGCCTGGGTAGGTCCCCAGTAGGGGGCATGCGAGAGGTAACCACATATCGATGTTTCTCTCCCCACTTCCTCTCTCTAAAAATAAATAAATAAACAATCTTTTTTTTTTTTTTAAAGATTTTATTTATTTATTTTTAGGGAGGGAAGGGAGAGGGAGAGGGAGAGGGAGAGAGAGAAACATCAATGTGCAGTTTCTGGGGGTTATGGCCTGCAACCCAGGAATATACCCTGGCTGGGAATTGAACCTGGGACACTTTGGTTTCCAGCCTGCGCCCAATCCATTGAGCTACGCCAGCCAGGGCTATAAACAATCTTTTTAAAAAATGAACACATTGTGTAGCCCCCTCAGCTTCAAGGCATCCATAATTTTGATTGACATGCCTTTGTTGACCTTTTTCAAGTTGTTAAATTTCTTCAGTCAAATAGTACAGAATCCTGTGGGTCAGCAGTCCCCAACCTTTTTGGCCCAGGGATTGGTGTCATGGAAGACAGTTTTTCCACGTTTCGGGATGGGGGTTTGGTTCCGGGATGATTCAGGCACATCACACTCAAGCTCCTGTCCTGCTGTGCAGCCCGGTTCCTAACAGACCCAGCCCACTACTGGTCCACGGCCTGGAGGCTGGGGAGCCCTGCGGTAGGCGACTCGTAGCTAGAACAAATATTTCAGATTGTCCTGGTACTCTCTTGGTCCTGCTGGTTACAGTGAGCCCACCTTTCCTTCAGCTGTGTTTCAAATGAAGATTCAGGCATCCCAAACTACTCCCAAGTGTAAGGGCATACACTGTGTTCTCATTCCCCTTTTAAGATGTACTGTTGCTCGCCTCAGTCTGAGTATTCTCCAGTTCATTGTCAACACTGCTGCCAGGGTAATTTATAAAAATTAACCAAAGTGGTCTTTCTAAAACTAATAACCCTCATGCTTAAAGTCCTTTAATGCCTTCGCACAGTTTTTAGGATGATGTTTAAACTCCTTCGCTAAGCCTGCAGAAACCTTGTGATCGGGCCCCCACTTTCCCTGTTGATTCTCAGCCTGTTTCTCCCCCGCCCCCTTCACCCAGACCACCGTCACGTCTTGGGTGCCTGTTGACCCTGGGAGGAGTTCAAGGCCTCGTGTTTCACACGCCGTGCCCTCCTCTACTGGAGGGACTTTTCCTTTTCATTCTCACTTAATTTCTTCTCACTCTTACTCATTATCTTCTCTTGGAAGCCTCCTTTGCTGTCTGACTTCAATATCCTTTGCTGTGTTCTTTTCATGCCTTCAACTTAAGTGTGAGAGCATTCATTCATAGTGTGTGGTAGTTTAGGATTTTTTTATATTGCAGTTTGCTTTCAGTATTATTTTGTATTTGTATGATAGTTTTTTGACATTTCTATGCCTCCCACAATAAGCTTTCATGTGCCTCAAGTGATCAAGCATTTTTCTTCTTTTTAAAATACAAACATTTTTGTCTATTTTAGCACAGTGTTTACAGACATCTCTTAGGCAGAAAAGGTAATCTAAATCCCGTGCTCAGGATATGTGTCTTTGGAGAATAAGTCTCTGTAACATATCAAACACAAGTCGGTGACTGTATCTTATTTAACTTTGGATTCTTCGCATTAGCACAGTGACTTGCAAATAGCAGATACTCAGTATATATGTGCTGAAATCATTTCTTCAAATTGGCCTGCCCCCTCACCATGTCATTACATGTCTTTTCCATTCCTATTTTCTCATTCATTCATTCATTCATTCATTCAGCAAATATGTATTGATCTTCTGCTTGTGTCCAGGTGGTATTAGCTTCTGGAGATGTAATGGTCAGTAAAACACACCTAATCCCTACCCTTTCAGAGTTTAAGACCCAGTGGGAAATATAAATAAACTGACAGTTACAGTACAGTGTGCAAGTGCTTTGGGGAAAGGAGGTAGATGGGGGTGTTGTGGGAACATATGGGGGAGCATCTAGAGTGGGGCTCTCCAGGGGCTTCTCCGAGTAAGTAAAGCAAAGAAAGCGGGGAAGAGTAGGGAGACGCAGAGAGTCTGCCCTCTTTCTAGCTTCTCCACTCCTTCAGTCCTTCCTTCTTGGCTACCTCTGTTTAGTCCACTCTTCAAGACAGCTGGAAGCTTACCTCCTCCATAACTCTGCTGTTCATCTTTTCTTTCTTTGAATTAAGTTTAGTTTCTATTGTGTATTATTTTCAGTGTATACTTTCAGTTGCCTTAAATATATTGTTAACGTGCCCTAGTGGGCAGGAACTCTGTATCTCACCTTCCTTTTTATTCTCCCTGATAATGCCCACCTGAATACCGTGCTGTCCCTGCAGTAGGGTTCAATAAATGCCTGTCAGGTGGTTGTCCAGGGGACAAAAAACAGACAGTGTGTGGAACTTAAGGTTTCAAATACTCAGGGAGTCTGCACCTCAAAATGTTACAGAACAAACAGGGGGGGCCTGGGACGATATACTATTACTGAAAGAAGGCCCCAGGTCCGTTATGTCCGTCACCAGAGGAAAGACGTCTCTCAATGCCAGAGATTCATGAAAAGGAAAGGAAATGTTTATTTAATGCTATACAAACTTAAAGTAGTGG